ACTCATTCAGTCGATTGAATTCTTGGTATCCTTCTGCAGAACCATATTTCTGTTGCTTTAAGTTTCCTTTTAATCCAAACAATATATAACTGAAGGCATAGCATATTAAAAAGATGAATCTTCCTACTCTACCATGCGGTGGCTGTGAACGTCTCTTCAGATCCAACATAGGACTCATTTCACACAGATGGAGATGTCAATGAGCACCTCAATACTCGACAACAATACTCCCTAATAATTCAAATTCATATCAATAAATTAGTGACAATTCTGATTTTTTTAAAAATACATGCTTCATTGGCAAGATAAAAACAGCTTAATCAAAAAGTTGATTATGGTGGTAAGGATTTAAGGAAGGGGCCAGATTAAGTACGATCTGACACCCAGATTGGTAGGCAGTCAAGGTGACATTCTACGTACATGAACAAGTTGGCAACCCGTTGTAAGTTGTCATCATCCTTGGTTTGCTGCTGTGGATAGTTTCAGCTGAAGTGTATGTGCCCTGGAGTGGCAACCCATAGACTACTTTAAACAATTCGCAGCCAAGGCTTTCAAAGACCCTTGCTGAGGACAGAAATTGATCAGGTCACCTGGAGATGGAAGCTACAGAAAGAATCAATTGGAGAAGGCCAGTCAAGGAAAAAAAACATCCTTTGAAAACACCAGAAGACAAACAGAAAAGAGGAAAAGAGCCCAAAGAAAAGACAGTGCTTGCCATCACCTAAACCCTCCTATCCTATCGTGCAGTGGCTGCGAATGTCTCTTCAGATCAAACATATGACTCATTTCAAACAGAAGGAAATGACAATGAGCACTCCAATACTTGGCAATGAGTTCTGCCAACAAACGAATATATATTAGAATTTCATGCTTTATACCATACAAATTCCTACAAATTAGCTTTTTTTTTTTATTAAATTAAATGCCACTCACATTGTAGCAAACCACCCATATTCTCTTCATATTCCGTCAGTGTGAAGCAAGTTCCACTTGAACAGCTTCTTCCCACGAATGACTGCTTTGTGGAACCGACACCCAAAAGTATGTTTCCCTGATCACGACCATCTTAACCTGTTTAAGTCTAGGATTAATCATTATCTTCCCCTCTTATCCATATAAATTGGCTCTTACTGTAACCCTCTACCTCAAGTGGCTCCCAGGCCTTGTACAAGGTGAAGACTAAAAAAAATTATACTCTGCTACATTATTAAAAAATGGAATTGGTTTTCATGTTCAAGTCTCTTCTAGCTGTCACTGTTTCAGACACTGCTTCTATTTCCAAATGGCATTTTCATAAATCATTCTTTTTATGGCTTGACCACCATGCATTTTGTATTTATTTACTCATACCTGCCTAATGGCCATAACAAAGATCATGAAAAAAAAAATACTGCAATTCCAGAAAGACACAATTTTGTGTAAACAGGAATTAAGATTTACCTCCTGAAATATCTAAATAGCTAAAGGCTTTCGAGCTGCACATTTTTTTTTATTTATCCTACTGTCTACGAACAGAGAAAATGTAAACAAGTAATCAATATCTTTGCAGACTATATCCGATAGATTTTTCCTGCTCAGAGTTAAAACTAAGTAAAAAGAGCTGAGAGACTTGTATATAATACTAAACCCCATGATCCAATATAACTTGTCACCGATAAAAAACTAACATTCGAATTTATTTTATTTATGAATCATAGTCAGAAAAGAAACAACATATTTATTATATTCAAAATTATTGTAAATATTTATTTTTCTCATAATCATAAAAAAAATAAATTCTAAGAAAACTTTAGAAGTGATATTTGCTAACAAAGAGTAAATAAAAACAACACATCTGAAATATCATTAAAAGTAATTTAAACATAACATTCGTCATTTATCATAAAAAGTTGACAGTAACTAAAGACAGATTTGCATATATTTATAAGATAATTGTTATCAGTACAGAAAATAGATTCTTCTTCATCTATGTACCTTCAGGACATGGACGATCATGGCTCTCCACAATTTGCTATCCTTTTTAGCTCTTAGTAAATTGTCTTTTCTCTATCTCCTAATCCTGGTTCTTCCAACCATTTCCAAATATTTGATAAATCTTATTAGAAAAATATGCACTCTCCAGCAGGATTTGAACCTGCATTTCCCAAGGGGAAACCATCATTAGATCTGATGTACTTTGACCTCTCAGCTATGGAGGGTGTGTCGATGACCTGAGAATGCATATTTTTCTATAAGGATTTTATAAAAATTCAGGCCAGTAGACAAAAATAACTACTCATAATAAATAAACAGATTTTCTATTCAAATAAAAGTATCAACTAAAAAAAAATTTTTTTTTTTTTTTTCAACTAGCCAAATTTATCTGTTCCCCGACTATCCCACATTGTAACAACATAAAATCTACCAAGAATGGTGATATATTGTAAGAACCTGTACGCAAATTTACTGTGGCTGAACTAGCAATCAAGGCAATTTCCAGACGTTTTTTGTCTTAGTAAATTATTTTCTCTTTTAATCAAAGTAGCATTCACTATATTATTTGCTTTGTATTACATGTGCTCTGTTTTTTTTTGTTTTTATTTTGTTATTGTTTATTAGAATCTTTATCAGTTCTGTTTTTTGAGCATTTCTACCTATTGCATTTAACCCTGACCAATACGCTACATTTTACTAGGATAAGTGCCTTCTATAACCAAGGTAATTTTTTAAAAATATTTCACTATTAATCCTGTTGAATGGTTTCAAGAAGTTTATATTTCTAAGCTTATTAAACTTTGACTACTTTCTTCATCTTTTTTTGTAGCTTTATAAGCAGATTCAGTTTTTAATTCTCCAAATAAATAAATTGATGAAATTCTCTATTCTTTTTAATCATTTCACCACAAGAAAGACAATAAAGCCACTAAGAGGTTATTGAGTGTTAGAGAATATGAAAGAAAAAAGCACTATTAAGGAGAGAAAACAAAAAAAAAAATTATGAGAGTAGATAACATTTGACATTGCATTTAAATCAAACTTGACTAGAAAGCAAGATTGTTCCACAAGCAACAAGTGCAAATGAAGAAACTGTCAGCATAGAACTTACAGTTACATCTAGCCTTTTTGAGTGCAAAATGATGAGGCTTAGTTGCAATTCTAGTACAGTGCTTAAATTTATAAAGTTCAGATACCATAGGAAAACTCACCAGAGTCATCAGCATGAGAATATTTATTTTAAAAAAAGGAACAGTGAAGCAATTTTATGACTCTGGAAAAGTGACTGACATCAAGATGTCAGGTGAGGACCAATATAATTGCAGATTTTCTTTTATTAAAAATTGTGAGAAAGAAATAACCTTTTTTTGAGACTTTAGCATCTCTCTGATTTCTTGGGAATATAGTGTAATCATTTTGGCATCAATAGAATGAAAATATAACAGAATAATTAATATAAGAAACCATGTTTAACCAGTTATGGAATTTTTATTTTTAATCATTTCATCCTAAGTAAGGCAATAAAGCCACTAAGACACAAGAGGTTATTGGGAGTGAAAGATAATGAGAAGATTTTAGTGAGAAGAAAGGACAATAAAGGTACAGGTTTCATGAAGGCAGAAGACAGCAATTGATGCTGTATTTAAATTTTTGCATGGAACCAAGAAACAAGTTCTATATGCCAGAAGAGCAAAAAAAGAAACTATTCAAAATAGAACTTACAATTACATTTAGCTATTTCAACATTAAAATGAGGAGACCTAGCAGCCAGTCTAGTAATGCATTGAAATTCCCATGTCAAGGTGCTAAAGAGCTGATAAGAACAACTGCCATGAAAAGTCAGAAGGAAGCATGTCATGGCAATAGGAAAGTGACTGAAACCAAGATGTTAAGTCAGGAACAAAAACATTACAGAATTTTCTTCAGATTTTGTCAAGAATCTCCAGATACATAGCTGAAGCACCTGACTAGATATGGCAGCAATATTCACTCCACGGACAAATAGTAGATTTATAAATGTGTAACATGTATTCTGAAGAGGAAAATTATCTGGCATGACACAGTTAACCAGCCTTCTGAGCAGCAAACCTAGCAATTGATTCAATATAATCACCCAACTCTGTGTCAGTACAAAAAATAAAACCAAGATGATGTAATGGAGGTTAGCATCAGCCATACTGATATCAGGTAAAAAATGGTTCTCTATAATGATTTAGGATAGCTGTATTGTTTTGCAAGCCATTTCTTGCCTGAGTTAACAACTGATTGGATGTCATTTTAAAGAGCAGCTGCCACTTTTACTTTGTTGGACATATCAGACTTACTTAATACAACAAGAATAAATAGTTTTTCAATAGTAAATGATTTGAGTTAGTCTTGGAATGTACTTGGTGATTATAATTTCATGCTGTTAAATTTAACAGTCAAACACTAAAATCAAATTAATAATAGGTTACCAAAGAATGAACTATGTATTAGCAAAATATAGAGAATATCAAACTGGGAGTTAGTACCTTTGAAAACATAACTAGTGAGCCAAATTAGAATTCTAGTCATGACTGCTAGCGTACTTTTCATACAAATACCTTCAAGATAGGTATGAACTCAAGATTTCTTGTAATTTGTTAATCATATCATCTAATCATGCTTATGTCAATGGAATGCCACTATATTTCAAAATTAGCTTCTTAAGCAGTAGCACTAAAATGGCTGTTATATACATTGTTAATGCTGACAGAAGTTATGAAACTTGGGTACCAATTACAATGTACATAGGAGAGAAAGTATGAACATGTATTACAAAAAAATGAAGTCTTTAAACTGGTTTACATTTATCATTGATTAAATGAAAACTTGTAAATAATTTTTAAAAAGGAAAAAAAAACAAAAAAAAAAAACAAATTAGGGTTCCTCTGAAGACATTTTACAAGCTCCCAAAATGAAATCTTAAAGTCAAGAATGTAATAAATATCATACTCATAATATCAGTTTTCAATCAATTAAATTTAACTGGCTTATGGTGATATAGCATTGCAACATCAATTCTCATCCGATCACCAAAGTTAAGGAATGTTGAGCCTGGTCAGTACCTAGATAGATGATCACTTGGGAATACCATGTTCTGTAAACTTTGATATGTAGGTGGTGTAATGAAATGTGCCTCAGAATTGGAAATCAGAGAATCGAGTTTCAAGTTTGTTACATTCGCTTACATGCAAATAGCATTGGGAAAGGTACAATTTCACATCTTCTCCCCCAGCTATGGGTCAAATATTACGACTTGTATCAGTGAAATCATTATTATCTCTAAAAGGTTTTTACATTGCAAAAAATATTTTCTGGCTATAAATAACCTGCAAAAGGTTGATAAGCTGTAAAAAAAAAAAAAAAAATCATCAATAAATCAATTAAATAGGGTTTGTTTTTTTACACTTCTCAAAATATACTTGAATAAAACCATTGATTTTTCCGACTGTCTGAGCTGACTTGATTTCAATCCATCAATCAATACCATACAGAAATATAGCAAAAAAAATAATAAATGAAATGTTTACTGATGTCTAGTGACAAATATAAAGCCCCATTACATTCTTTTTTAAGCACCAGCCACACCATTGAATTGCCGAATCTTGGTCTGAATTCCAAAGTATTCACAAAATTGTTCTAAAACTAATTTCCTTTTGATTTTATGATGACCTGTCTTTAAAATTTATAGTAGAACTACTTAAAATTTTAGAACTGTCATGTAACATTGGTACTCCAACATGGGTCATGCTGGGTATGATGATAAACATCTGGCAGCAGAGCCTCTGATCAGGAGATTTTGAGGAGAATGGAAACACCTCTTAAATGCTGTTGTTCCCGGGTCTGCCTTGCCCCGGGGTGGTAGCATCTGTTAGGATCCCAGCTGCAGGCAAATAGTGACACCCCCCCCACCACCACACACACACACAAACTGAGGTCAAAACACTATGAAAGTATAAAAATAGATTTTCATAGTAAAAATACTAGCAATAGATTTTTGGAAGAAAAAAAAATTATTGCCAGCAATACATTTGCCTCTTGACAAAAAAACCCTCTTTACAAAAATACATCAATGTAACCTGATCTACAAACTGATTTCTTACAAAGAATACATATTCTATTCATACGAATCTATCCAAAATATTTTTTCAGCATTAAATAACCCATTGAGATTGATATGCAATAAAACAAGAGCAATCAATCAATTTTACATGGCAGTGAATACTGGACATAGGTGAAGATGAGACTTGAGGAAATGTGCTGAAAGGAGGCTGAGAATACCATGGACTGAACATGTGAGTAATGAAGAAGTTTAAAAAAAATAAAATGCAAACAAAAATGATATTTATACTTAGAATCAAAAAAAGAAAATCAAAATTTCTAGGGCACATAATGTGGAAAGAGAGCTTGGAAACTTTGATACTCACAGGATGTATTGTAAGCAGGAGGAATAGAAGAAAGTAATGAATGATGTACCTATTTTTTTTTAATCATTTCACCACAAGCAAAGCAGGAATGCCACTAGAATGCAGGGGGTTACAGAGAGAAAAAGTGAGAGAAAAAACTGAGTATAGGGAAAACAGAGGAAAGGACAAAAGATAAATGGGATTCAAGATAGAAGATGGCGATTGACATTGTATTTAAATTTTTGAAGATTATGGTTTATTATTCTACAGGTGGGAAGTGCAAGAAAAGAAACTGTTGGAGTAGAAGTGGCAATTGCATTTAACTATTTCAACAGTAAGAGGGTGGGACCTAGATGCCAATCTAGTAGCATGTGTAAATTCATGTTGTTGGGGAAACAGGGATAAAAGCTTATCAGAGTAGTTGCCATGAAAATATTTGTAGAAAAGGTACAGAGGGAAGCCATGAATAAATAAATGGTTGGCAAGACAGGAATTTGGAGATAGCAAAAAGACAAACTTTACTAAGGGCTACAAAGGACAAGAAGTTATGGAGAGTCATGATCGCCCACATGCTAAAGGAACAGAATTCCTTTAAAAAAAAAAAAAAAGAAGTTGAACCTGTACTTAGGAATATCTTATCAGTACTCATCATCACTAACTATAGAGAAGAGGGTAACAGCTTTTTGCTGGTACTGCTTGGGTTGGTAATATATTTATGGGAGAATTTATGATTTCTGTCAGAATTTTATCTATTCTCTGGACAACATTTTCCAAAAAATAAAATTAAAAAAAAAACAAAAAAACATTGTTTGGTAGGAAAACATAAAATGCTATAATCGAAAGATGAAAGTAACATTGAAGTAAGCAATAAACATAAATATGACAGTAACATCTTTGTAAAGGAATAAAGACTGAATTAAATAAAGCTAAGCTTACTTGTTATTTATATTAATATACATATTATTAATATGCAGACTATTGTTCTCATCTTTGTTATCATCATCACAACATTTTGGCTATTACACATTCCAACATTTTTCAGTTATTTTTTATGGCTTATCAACCTTTTGCAGGTTATTTAACCCCTTCCCCACAATTACTGTTGCCATATATAATCTAGTGCCTTAGCTGTTCATCTTGAGGTTCTCAACAAAATCCAGACAGATATGCAATGGAATCAGTCCTGACTTGAGGTCTCTACTCCACTCACTCTCTCACTGACATAATGTGGCTTTCCTCTGCCTTTTCTATAAATATTTTCATGGCATCTGCACTGATGAGTTATTTTCACCAGTGCCCTGACTGCATGAATTTAAGCATGCTACTAGGTTGGCATCTAGGTCCCAACCTTTTACTGTCAAAAGAGTTAAATGTAACCACTTCTTCTATTCCCACAGCTTCTTCTCTTGCACTTCCTGACAGTGAAACTCCCTTCCTCTTACTTGCTTCGCAGATAACTATATTTTCTTCAAAAATTCAAGTGTAATGTCAATCGAAATCTTCTGATGCCTTGATCCTCATTCTTCTTTTTATCTCCCCCCCCCCTAACCAGTCTTTTCCCTTACTTTGATTCTCTGTAGCTTCTTGTGTACTAGTGACAAAATTCAGACAAATTTTTTATTTGTTTTAATATAGTAACTAAGAGGCACAAAGTACTAAGCAGTAGTTAACACCTCTACCATATGTATGATTTGACAAATGGACTTGCTCAGGAGAGCATAAAAAGAATCAAGATCTATGTATAAACACGTCTATAGCTAGTTTTTGAACATTATGTTTTGGACGTATTTATTCGTCTGTCTGAAAAAGATGCCTTCAGTAAAAGTATATGTACATGCCTATGATGGGGAAGGAGCTAAAAGCAAAAAATATTTTTAGATGGTAAAATTTTTTTTAGAGATAATAATTATTTAGTGATAGAAGTCTAACTAATTAACCCATAGCTGGAGGAAGAAGCGAGGGATTCATTTTTCCCAATACTATTCATGTTTAAGTGAATATAATGACCTGACTGGAATTGGAACTCAATTCTCCGATTTCCAATCCAGAGATGTTATCACCTGCATATCCAAGTTTACAGCACATTGCTTTCTCAAGTGGTCACCCATCTAGGTACTAATCAGGCCCCAAATTGCCTAACTTCAGTGATTGTATGTGAACTGGTGTTTAAACATGAAATGTCCTGAAGCCAACATTCTTCAGGTCTCTGTTGATCTGAGTAACATTCAGGGTATTTTGAAGTGAACCCTTTATTTAATTGACAAGGGTAGCTGTTTCTCATTCTGTTGTCCATGCCTAGAGATATATTGTCTAGTTCTTATTTTATTAAGGCACAAGAGATTACAGAATATTAGAGAATATGAGAAAAATATACTATTAAGGAAAGATGAAAAATAAAACAAAAAAACACTTGTGATAGATGATAAATGACATTGCATTTAAATTTTTGAAGATCAAGTTTGACAGGGAATCAAGAAAATGGAAGAGAGTTCCACTTGAACAGGATTAGAGGTTAAGTGAATATAACGAACCCAATCGGAATTGGAACTCAGCTCTCTGATTTCCAATCCCGAGCCGTTATCGCTTATACCACCTGCACATCCAAGCTTACATGGCTTTCTCAAATGGTCACTTATGTAGGTATCGACATCACTTAACTTCTGTGATTGTATATGAACTGGTTTTTAAACATGAAATGGCCTTATGCCAATGTTCTTCAAGTCTTTGTCAATCTGGGTAACATTCAGGGTATTTTTTTTTTTTTTTTAATCATTTCACCCCAAGCAAGGCAAAAGAGATTACAGAATGTTAGAGAATACGAGAAAAAAAATATACAATTAAGGAAGGATGAAAAATAAAAAATAAGAAAATGACACTTAAGATAGAAGATAACAAATGACAATAAATTTAAATTTTTTGAAGATCAAGTTTAACAAATAAGTAAGAAGATGGAAGAGAGTTACACTTGAACAGGAGGAGAGGTTTATCCTTTGTTTCCTCTTTAGGGTTGGGTTTCTGGTCTTTTATAAAGTCGACTTCAATTCCATACTCCTAGCATCTGTGAACTGTCTTGAAATTTTATTCACTCATTAAATCTTGACTGCTTCAAGTCTAGAGTTAGCAGTTACCTTTCCTGCATATCCACAAGAGCTTCACTTAGCTTCACTTCTTGTCCTTTCTTACACTAATACAACATTACACAGTAGCCCTCTACCTTGAGTGGCTCTTGGGCCTTGTATTGGGTGAACATAAAAAAAGTTATTGTTCATGGCATTTTCCAATTCAAGCAGGAATTATGCTTTCTTTTTTGTTTGTTAGTCATAAGATGATTATAAACCTCCATTTTATTTACTTAAATTTTAAAATTGTCTCAATGATAAAATTATGACCAAAATAACTATAGATTTGAAGAATATTTATCCTGTTATTTGTAGAGCTTAAATTAATTTGGCACAAAGAAAGATATCAGCAAATGGCATGTCCTTAACCTTCTTGTATTCAATTCATGCACAGACACCATCTTTAGAATTAATAGCTACAAATTATTGACCTTTTACAACAGGGTGAAGTGAGGACCATTGCAATTTTTAAAATTCCTTTAGTGACATATATTAAAGATGCATAAAATATCAAGAAACACCACAGCAAAAAAAAGAAAAAAAAAGCTGTTAATGATTTTTACAGTTACACTGACTTTTCAACACCATTTTATGAGGGTAAGTCAAAAATTATATAACATATTTTTAGCTTTGTCATACTGTCTTCTGCATGCTTATAGCTGATACAAATGTGGCCATGTGATTGAAGTTTGAGCTTGATCATGCCAGTTTTCTTTCTAGCGTTACAGTAACCGCTTTGCTAGCAGTGTTCACCAAGGAGGAACAAAGAGCAGTGATCCAAATCTTCTGAATCTTTTCGTCAATGATGGAGGTTGACAGGTGTCCTGCTTCTTCTTCTTGCATCATACTTGTCGAGTTACTTTTTAATTTCTTCATCCACTCATACACACTTCTATGTGGTAGTGCACTGCCTCTGATAAATTTCAGCCCCTGACACACCCTACAACTAGAGAAATCAGATTACCGATTCCTCCTTGAAGCTCAAACTTTGATCATGTGACCACAATAATACCAACTATAAGCACGCATGAGTAGAAGGCCATGTGACAAACCTAAAAATATGCTATGGCAAAAGTGCAGATAATTACCCTTGTATTAATGCTTCATTCAGTCAGTTTGTAACAATATGATTTCTCCCACATCTTTAGAAGATAAATAGATAAATTTCTTTTAAGTCCACTTAGTTATCTGAGTTTTGTAGGAATTTTGTCTCCAGTTCATCTTTGAGCAAACTTAAGTGTCAGTGTTTTGGGGATTTATGTCTACAGCTGCCTTTGAATTGGCAAACATAAAATGTTGTTAATGATTTTAGATAATCATAAAAGTAGTCCTTTGAAGAAGATGACTACCCAAAAAGCTGAATGGGTGGTCTCCAACGTCCAGATCACAAGTGGATGCATAGGGGGATAGGACCCAGCCATTATCCATATAAGCAGGGAGAAAGGGGTCCACCAGGTAGAGAAGTAGGTAAGTGACCAGTCAGTGAGTAGCTGTCCAGTGGCCAGGTAGGTAAGGACCAGTGGCAGTTAAAGAGATAGCCAGCTATCTTTCCTTCAGCTGAACTGCTAAGTGAGAACTCATATTGTTGCTGTTTCCCAACCAGAGAGTCTTGAAAATCAATCATTATTTTTTTGTTGAATACAATCACATCCAAGCAGACAAATCTGATCATAGCAAAATTAGGTGTATATGCAGATACAGCCGATTCTGGATGTCAGGTGCAGTGAACAACAGACAAGTAGTAAACATTATCACAAATTAAGTGCCATGCACATTGCTTGGGTGATGATCATGTCTCTTTCGATTCATGACTGACTAGGCCAGGGGTCGGCAACTCATTTGACCCCGAGGGCCGGATCGTGTTATAATGACGCGTCACGGGCCAGACGAAGGCCATTAATGAAAAATTAAGGAAAATTACATATGCAGACCCCTGTCAACCTAAATATTTAAAACCATAATGAAAATAAACATTGAGAAATCAGGAAAACAAAAGAAAATCTAAAATTAAAAAACACCTAACAAAAATTACTTTTCCTCAAGGAACGACAAAATACTTCAAAGTGAAAAAAAAATCAACCGAAGTGAAATGGATGAAATTATGACGTGTAGGTTTAAAACTGTTATTGAAAATTGTTCCACAAACGATCCACACACACACACACACACACACACACATCAAACAAAAACGAAGCACATATACCCATACATACGAGTACAAAAAGTTGCAAACATATACACTTACGTAAGTACACATGCGGTATCATCCACACATTCATGAGGCATGTATGTATAATGCGTGTATATTTAACTGTCTTTAGATTTCTGCTACCTCGCATGTTAGTCCCTCCCTGGCCTCTTTCACTTTATCGTTCTTTTCGCTTCTGTTATCTTTTAATGTAGCCAAGGGTCATAACAAATATGTATCCATTATTTGACATTAAACGTAGGCAACGCAACTTGGTAAAATAAGTCTCATGAAAGATAACTGGCAGATAGTCTAATTCGAAAGCCTCGTCTCTCATGTTAAAAATAGAGTCACTGGTAATCAGGCTCGCAAGCCAGTCAAAATGCCTTCGCAGACCGGATCCGGCCCGCAGGTTGCTGACCCTTGGACTAGGCAGAAGATTTTTCCAGCAGTCAGTTGCTGATTCTTTTTGCAGTAAATTGTTTTACCAACCAAGCTATAGAATTCAACTCATAACCAGGAGAAGAAGAGATGGATTCATACCTTTCCCAAGGTTACTTGCACCTAAGTCAATGTAACAAACCTGACTGGAATTCAAACTCGGCAAACTCTGATTTCTCATTCCCAGTTGATATCCATTACATCACAACATACATCCAATGTTTATTTATGAGCTGTAAAAGCTTCACCATACATATTTGCAATGTAGAAATAAAAACATGAAATAATTCAAAGAAAAAAGTAAGAGCCCAAGAGCCACTCAATGTAGAGGGTTATTGTGTAGTATTGTATAAGCATAAGAAAAGGTAAGAATTTGCAGTTTATAAGGTCATGTAGAGAAGATAGTGGTTAGCTCTAAAAGGTCAAGATTGTAGTCATTGGAAAAACATCTATCTGGGAGTCTGTTCCACAAAAAATCCGTTCTTGGTAAGAGCCTGCCCAAATGAAACTGATTTCTTACTAAAGGAATACGAAGGGAATGACAATGATTAATTTTTGCGTACATTGCTCGGTGGCTCCTAACTGCAAAGGGGTCAGGGTTGGTAGAGCCAAGGAACATAGCTTGTCAGAGCAAAGGTCAGGGTTGGTAGAGCCAAGGAACATAGCTTGTCAGAGCACTTGCCATAGAAACAGCAATTATTATGCAGCTACACCCAAAAAGGTTTCTTTCATCTTAATTTTAGTAGCTTTTTATCACAACTCTGGCCGTTCTTGGAAAATAAAGAATAATGGCTATATAAATAGATTTGTGCTTCTGTCGCCAGTGGCTTTTGTAACTTAATCACCAAACCAGCTATTGCATTAATACAGGCTTCTTGAGTCTCACCAAAAAACTATTCTTTATTGCTGATCTGCATTGTTTACTAATGGACAGAGCATGATGGGCTGAGGAGATACTATTTAAATGGAATTAAGATAACAAATTCAAAAACTAATAATTCAAAATGTTTCATTAAAAAAGATTCAAGAGAATATTTCTATTATCTTTGTTTTCTAGAAATTTGCAAAGGACAACATTCTTCATGAATATTATTCCTTTTCTTCATTTGCTGTTTCTTCGTTTCCTTTCTCTAACAATGCACCAAAAGTAGAAAATTCTTTATCATAAAATATTAACTGTGTGATGTACATTCCAACTGTTGTTTAAAGGCAATTTTTCTCACCAAAACCTGTCTAGCACTTTTATAAAGAATCTGCAATATTATCAGTCCTAACCTGCCATCACAGTTTCAATCACTTCCTCACCACTGTAATGTAGCTTCCTTTTGCCTTTTCTAATAATATTCCCAGGCTAATTGCTCTGATGTGCTTTCCTCTTTGGTATTTCAACTTGACAAATTTAAGTATGGTACTAGAATGGCA